GGGCTCAGGTCGCTGCCGTGAACAGAAGGGATCCCCCTCTCGAGGTCGAGGCCTCCGAGGATCACCGGACCCAACTTTTGTACGGATTCCTGCAGCCCCACAGGGTCCTGGACACGTCAGTTCCTTCAATTTATGGGGGTTTTCCCCAAAAATTTATCCCAAATTCCCCAGTAAATATTATGGGGTTTTTCCATCATTTTCCCATTATTTTCCCATAATTCCCCAGTGAATATTATGAGGATTTCCCCATAATTTATGGGGATTTCCCATTATTTTCCCATAATTCCCCAGTGAATATTATCGAGGTTTTCCCATCATTTTCCCATTATTTTCCCAAATTCGCCAGTGAATATTATGGGGTTTTCCCCATTATTTTCCCATAATTTTCCCACAATTCCCCAGTGAATATTATGGGGATTTCCCCATAATTTATTGGGATTTCCCATTATTTTCCCATAATTCCCCAGTGAATAAAATGGGGATTTCTTCATAATTTTCCCATAATTTATCCCAAATTCCCCAGTGAATATTATGAGGATTTTCCCATAAATTTCCTATTATTGTCCCATAATTTATCCCAAATTTCCCAGTGAATATTATGGTGATTTCCTCATAATTTTCCCATAATTCCCCAGTGAATATTATGGGGATTTTCCCATCATTTTCCCATAATTTATCCCAAATTCCCCGGTGAATATTATGGGGATTTCCTCATCTTTTTGCGCCGAGGATCACCGGACTCAACTTTTGTACGGATTCCTGCAGCCCCACAGGGTCCTGGACACGTCAGTTCCTTCAATTTATGGGGTTTTGCCCAAAAATTTATCCCAAAATTCCCCAGGGATTTTTCTTATAATTTATGGGATTAATTTATGGGATTAAATTATGGGATTTTTCTTATCATTTTCCCATAATTTATCCAAATTGTCCAGTGAATATTATGAGGATTTTCCCATAAATTTCCTATTATTGTCCCATTATTTTCCCAAAATTCCCCAGTGAATATTATGGGGATTTCCTCATAACTTTCCCATAATTTATTCAAAATTCCCCACAGAACATTTTAGGGATTTTCCCATAATTTCCCAGTGAATATTATAGGGTTTTTATCATAAATTTATCCCAAATTCCCCAGTGAATATTATCGGGTTTTTCCCATAATTTATCCAAAATTCTCCAGTGACTATTATGGGGATTTCCCATCATTTTCCCATGATTTCCCCATAATTTCTCCATCATTTTCCCCCAATATTCCCATCATTTTCCCATCATTTTCCCCATAATTTTCCCATAATTCCCCAATGAATATTGCAGGGATTTTCCAACTATTTGCCCGTAATTCCCAGTGAATATTATGGGGATTTCCCCATCATTTATGGGGATTTCCCATTATTTTCCCATAATTACCCAGTGAATATTATGGAGATTTCTTCATAATTTTCCCATAATTTATCCCCAAATTCCCCAGTGAATATTATGGGGATTTCCTCATAATTTTCCCATAATTTATCTTATATTCCCCAGTGAATATTACGAGGATTTTCCCATAAATTTCCTATTATTGTCCCATAATTTATCCATAATTCCCCAGTGAATATTATGAGGATTTTCCCATAAATTTCCTATTATTGTCCCATAATTTATCCAGAATTCCCCAGTGAATATTACGGGGATATCCCCATAATTTATCCCAAATTCCCCAGTGACTATTTTGGGGATTTCCTCATCTTTTTCCGCCGAGGATCACCGGACCCAACTTTTGTACGGATTCCTGCAGCCCCACAGGGTCCTGGACACGTCAGTTCCTTCAATTTATGGGTTTTTTTCCCCAAAAATTTACCCCAAATTCCCCAGTGAATATTATAGGGTTTTTATGATAAATTTCCCATTATTCCCCAGTGAATACTATGGGAATTTCCTCATAATTTTCCCATAATTTTCCCATAATTCCCCAGTGAATATTATGAGGATTTCCCCATAATTTATGGGGATTTCCCATTATTTTCCCATATTTTCCCGGTGAATATAATGGGGATTTCCTCATAATTTTTCCATAATTCCCCAGTGAATATTATAGGGGTATTCCCATAAATTTATCTAAAATTCTCCAATGAATATTATGGGGTTTTTCCCATCATTTTCCCATAATTTATCCAAAATTCTTCAGTGAATATTATGGGGTTTTCCCCATCATTTTCCCATTATTTTCCCATAATTCCCCTGTGAATATTATGGGGATTTCCTCATAATTTTCCCATAATTTATCCCAAATTCCCCTGTGAATATTATGGGGATTTCCTCATCTTTTTCGGCCGAGGATCACCGGACCCAACTTTTGTACGGATTCCTGCAGCCCCACAGGGTCCTGGACACGTCAGTTCCCTCCTTTTTATGGGGTTTTTGCCCAAAAATTTATCCCAAAATTCCCCAGTGGATATTATGGGGTTTTTCCCATCATTTTCCCATAATTTTCCCATAATTCCCCATAATTCCCCAGTGGTTATACGGATTTTTCCATTATTTTCCCACAATTTTCCCATAATTTTCCCATCATTCCCCAGTGAATATCATGGGGTTTTTCCCATAATTTTCCCATAATTTATCTAAAATTCCCCAGTGAATATTATGGGGATTTCCCCATAATTTATGAGGATTTCCCATTATTCCCCAGTGAATATTATGGGGATTTTCCCTTAATCTTCCCATAGTTCCCCAGTGATTATACAGATTTTCCCATCATTTTCCCATAATTCCCCAGTGAATATTATGGGGATTTCCCAATAATTTTCCCAAAAATTTTCCCAATAAYTTTCCCATAATTCCCCAGYGGTTATACGGATTTTCCCATTATTTTCCCACAATTTCCCCATAATTTTCCCATAATTCCTATTGATTATAGGGATTTTCCTATCATTTTCCCATAATTTTTCCATCTTTTTCCCATAATTTATCCAAAAATCCCCAGTGAATATTACGGGGATTATCCCATCACTTTCCCATCATTTTCCCA